CTGGGGAGCACCGGAGGAGCTTCGGCGGTACCGGAGGGGACCCCGGGAACGGGGGGGGTCCCAGCGCCCCCTCCCTTTCCGCCCTCAATGGCACCTCCCGGTACCGCCTCTGCGCCGTGACGTCACGTCCGCCCCTGCTCGGCCCCGCCGCCGGAAGGGGCGACCCCGCGGCGCGCGGTGGGCGGGGTCTCTTTGCGAGCGGGCGGCGGCCATGGCGGAGCCGCGGGTGCGGCGCGGGGGAAGCGCGGGCGGTTCGGAGGGGCTGCGGGGGCTGCGGGGGCTCCGGAGGGCTCGGGGAAGGGGCTGAGCAGTGCGGGGGCTGCGGGGAGCCGCGGGCGGGCGGCGGGAGGCGCGCGGGGCGCGAGCACGTGGAGAGCCCGCGGTGCGGCCTGAGCCCGGTACGGCCCGAGCGCTGCGAGGCCTCACGCGCGGGGTTCCTCCCGGTGGCGCAGGTTCTGGTGATCGACGGGCGCGGGCACCTCCTGGGCCGGCTGGCGGCGATCGTGGCCAAGCAGGTGCTGCTGGGTGAGTGCGGGACCCTTTCCGCGTTACCCACCGGCAAAAGCSGAGGATCCCCGGGGCAGCCGCCTTTCCCCGCGCTGTGATGAGCTCGTCCGGCTCGAGTGTCGCCACCATGAGAGCCGCCTGCATGCACTACCAGCTGAGCGCGGGGAGGGGCTCGGGGAACCGGGAGAGGAACCGGGAAAGGGACCGGGAGAGGAACGGGGAAAGGAACCGGGAGAGGAACCGGGAAAGGAACCAGGAAAGGAACCGGGAGAGGAACGGGGAAAGGAACGGGGAGAGGAACCGGGAAGAGCCCGGGAAAGGAACCGGGACAGGAACCGGGACAGGAACCGGGAGAGGAACCGGGAGAGGGACCGGGACAGGAACCGGGACAGGAACCGGGAGAGGAACCGGGAAAGGGACCGGGACAGGAACGGGGAGAGGAACGGGGAAAGGGACCGGGAGAGGAACCGGGACAGGAACCGGGAGAGGAACCGGGAAAGGGACCGGGAGAGGAACGGGAAAAGGAACCGGGAAAAGAACCGGGAGAGGAACCGGGAGAGGAACGGGGAGAGGAACGGGGAAAGGAACCGGGAGAGGAACGGGGAAAGGAACCGGGAGAGGAACGGGGAGAGGAACCGGGAAAGGAACCGGGAGAGGAACCGGGAGAGGAACCGGGAAAGGAACCGGGAAATGAACCGGGAAAGGGACCGGGAGGAGCCCGGGAAGCCTCGGGCCCTGACCCCGCTGGTCCCGCTGTCCTTAGGCCGCCGCGTGGTCGTGGTTCGCTGCGAGGGCATCAACATCTCCGGGAATTTCTACCGCAACAAGCGTGAGTGGGGGGACCTGGTTTTGGGGGGAAATCGTGGGGATTTGGGGTTCGTGTTACGGCTCTTACCGGTCCTGGAGAATTGGTGGAGAAGTTTCCAGAAGGTCCCGTGTTCTTGATGCATCCCCARAGCTCCCGTTTTGGGGAATTTTAGCTCTTTTCCCAGTTTGTAAAATTCAGACATTTCCCAGTTCCAGGCCACCCCTTTTTTTAGGGAATTTATTCATTTTTCACATCGCAGTAAAGTTTTCAGACATGTCTTGGGGGGATTTAAGTTCTTCCCACATCACTGAAATTCTGGTTTTGGGTGGCATTTTTCCCCTTTTCCCATTCCCATGAAGTTCCTGGCATCCCCAGACCCCATTTTGGGGSAATTTAACCCCTTTTCCCATCCCAGGAAAGTTCCCCACAATTCCAAATCTCCCATTTTTAGGCGGATTTTACCCCTTTCTTTCTCCCYTTATATGGGATGGGTTTTACCACGTTTTGTCCTTCTGCAGTGAAATTCCTGGCGTTCCTGAGGAAGAGGATGAACACCAACCCTTCCCGGGGCCCTTTCCACTTCCGAGCCCCCAGCAGGATTTTCTGGCGCACGGTCAGAGGTCAGAGAGGCGCCTCCCATGGATTTCCCTCCCCAGAACTCGCCCGGAATTTCCCCTGATCCCAGATTTTGTCTCAAATCCAGGAATGCTGCCCCACAAAACCAAGCGGGGCCAGGCGGCSCTGGAGCGGCTCAAGGTGTTCGATGGGATCCCCCCGCCCTACGACAAGGTGGGAACCCCCAATCCTGGCTCTGGAGTTCCCAAATGCACCCCTGCGATCCCACAAACTCCCTCTCCAGGACCCCACAAATCAGTCCTGCAATTTCCCCCAAATGTTCCCTGGGACACCGCAATTTCCACCCAAAACCCGGTGTCGATGATGTCGCTTTTACCTACATTGTTTGATTCTCCCTGAGAAAAATTCCAACTCCTGAGACACCTGGAACGCCCCAAATCCCATAAAACTTCCCCAAAACCCCCTGCGGGATCTAAAACATCCCCGGGGACCCCAGAAGATCCCAGAATTTCCAAATTTTCCAGCGGAAGCGGATGGTGGTTCCAGCTGCCCTCAAAATCATCCGGCTCAAACCCACACGCAAGGTGAGTTCTGTGGGGGGGT